CCCCGGGCGCCTTTGTCTCCCTGCGGCAGGTGAGGGCAGGTGAGGGTGGCCCGGCCTCCACTCCCCAGCCACGCGCAGTCTCCCCCTCGCTGAGTCCCCGCGTGTCGCCCTCCGCCACCCCAGCCCTACTACGCCACGAGGGTGAACGCGGCCGACATTGAGAACCGGGTCTTGGAGCTGAACAAGAAGCAGGAGTCGGAGGACACGGCCAAGGCCGGCTTCTGGGAGGAGTTCGAGGTGCTCATGGGGACGGGCAGGGCTGGACAGCGAGGCTGGCTCTCTCTCCCCACGGTGATCCGGTGATCAGGGCCTGCCCCATGTCCTCGGCCGGCGCCCCTCTCCAGGGGCTGGCGCTCACGCCCTCTCACCTCCCAGAGTCTGCAGAAGCAGGAGGTGAAGAACCTGCACCAGCGGCTGGAAGGGCAGCGGCCAGAGAACAAGAGCAAGAACCGCTACAAGAACATCCTGCCCTGTGAGTGCCGGCGCCTCCGGGTCCTTCCCACGGGGCGCCCACTCCCGGGACCGCCCCTCCCCGCTCAGGCAGGCTCTGCCCTGCACTCAGAGCACCCCAGCCTCTACTCCTCCTCCAGATCCCCCACGCCCTCCCACCCACAGCCCTCCGAGAGCCTCTAGGATTCTGAGACCAGCAAGGCCTGTTAGCTTAGGAAGGCCCTGCTGACCCCCGGGTGGGTGGCGAGTCGCCGGCTGACCAGGCCACCCGGCCTCCTCTCCACTTGCTCACAGTTGACCACAGCCGCGTGATCCTGCAGGGCCGGGACAGCAACATTCCTGGGTCCGACTACATCAACGCCAACTACGTCAAGGTGGGCCGGGTGGGCACGCAGAGGGGGAGGCTGGGCCCTGGGAGCCGCGGCCAACACCCGGGGGGGTGAGGGTGCTGGTGCTCACAGGCCCGCGTCTCTGTCCAGAACCAGCTGCTAGGCCCCGACGAGAACGCTAAGACCTACATCGCCAGCCAGGGCTGCCTGGAGGCCACAGTCAACGACTTCTGGCAGATGGCGTGGCAGGAGAACACCCGTGTCATTGTCATGACCACCCGGGAGGTGGAGAAAGGCCGGGTAGGCCAGAGCCCCGTACCCTACGCCCCGATCCCCCAGTTCTTGTCCACAACTGCAGAGCCATGGCCACCTCGGAAAGGGACCCCAGAGGATTGTCCATGGCACACTGTGACCCCAGGCCCCTGCTGTGACCTCGTCTCTGTGCTCAGCAGGTGCTGTGGTGGTTGGGCGCTGGATTCCCACATGGTCGGCCGCGGTTCAAGTCCTGAACCTGCTGGCTTGCTTTCTCACTTTGTCTCTTTCTGACGAGTGCACGTGCTCTATAGCGAATGGAATACTAATAATAACGAATAAAACACATCTTTAAAACAAAACAAAACAAAACAAAAAACCCTTCATGTCTCCTGAGCTGCAGACCCAGGTTTGAAACTGCCCTCTTTCCTAATTGTCCCAAAGCAAATGCCCTCCTTACTGCCCCCGCCTGCCCCTCCAGGCCCTCCTGCTCGCCGGGCCTCATCCACCTCTCCGGGGTCCCCTTCACGGTGCCCTGCGTACTGTAGCCAGGGCCACCCGCCCAGAGCATAACTGGACATCTGCTTCCTCTCTGAAGACCCTGCGTTGGCTGTCCTTCGGGAGAATGCCACACTCCAAGGCCCGCCATTCAAGGCCTGATGGCTTCCCTGTCACACTCCCGGCCGTCAGTGGGCCCAGGCTTGTCGTTGGCTAGGAAATGACTTTTCCCTCCCCACTATCTCTGCCTGGCAGACTTCTTGTTTTTCAAGACCTCGCTCAAATGCTGCCTCCTCTGTGAAGCCATCTCTGATTTCCTCTGTAACCTAGAAGGAGAATCGGCCTCTCCCTCCGCCACGCTCCTGAGCGCATTCTGTTTCTCCAGGTCACCTCTCTCTCTGGGCTCCTAGGGCCACCAGGGCACAGCCGTGTCTTACTGGTGTTTGTGACCCCAACCTGGCCTGAGGGCTTCAGGTATACCACGTGCCAGGTGGCTGCTGGTGGCTGACCCGAGATCAGGTCCCCAACCTCCTGCCTCTCAGCCTGCTCGTCCATTTACCCAGCAATGTGTGGGCCATCACGGTGGCAGGACGTCGGCCAGGGCCTAGGCGAGGCTCCGGAGCCCCGCCTCTGGGCTCACCCCCACCTCGCCTTTGCAGAACAAATG